TTAGAGGAACCCTGCCCTAAAGCTAATATTTTCTTACCAATTATCTTACCTCAGCATTGCCTCCAACCACTCTAGATGAAACAGCTCCAGCACCAAGAAAAAAAGCTCCTGGTAACTGTATCTCTTTCGCTACTGTGTTCAGGTCATAAACCTAAATGAGAAAAGCAGAGTTGACTTTGCTCATTTGCGGGTCCGGGGCCGTGTTTCTTAAAGAGTGGTCCTAGGACCCCTGGGTTCCCCCCAAGACCCTCTCAGAGGTCCGCGAAATCAAAATTATCTGCCAGCCTCTGCTGACAAATAATACAATATTAAAATCCCATCAAAGAATCGTGAGAAACAGCAGCGAATGCGTCAATTTTAATTTTTAATATGGTAAATATAGATGAATATAACCCATACAAACAAAAGCTATTTTGGGGTCCTATGTAATTTTTAAAAGTGGGAAGGGGTCCTGAGAAAAAAAATTTTAAGGAACACCGTCTAGGGCAAAAGATTCAGCCGCCATGCTGAGAAGGCACAGCAGAACTGAATAACTGGTCTGTTCCTGCAGTGGAGACTAGAAGGGAAATTAAATAATTAAATTAATTAAATTAAATTAATAGAATTCTGGGAGTTGAAGTCCACACGTTTTAAAGCGGCCAAAGTTGAGAAACACTGCGCTAGAGGTAGTCCTCGGTCAGTTCGAATAGCGCAAAATTCAATTTAGTGTGATTTATAAATTGATACCAGGTCGTGTTTCATGTGAGCGAAAATTCAGTTAGTGTGAGGCTAGCACGTGCAGGGTTGAAGCTAGCGCACGCGCGGTTGCCATTGGGGTTTTAGACACTAATTCGTCATGTTCGCAAAATGGAGAAGAGGAAGGTTGGGTTTGAGGAAAGCTCAAAAAAGGAGAGGCTCGTTCTGAAGAACTACAGCAGAATACAGGAGAGAGCAGATACGCTTTGGATACGGGTTTATTCTCTTTTCTGTTATACAGTATCTCATTAATAAACATATTAAAAAGTATGCTTAAAAATTTCTGTTGAGCTGGAGCCAGTTAACCTATTTTCCACAGAAACATCACTTCGAATAGGGCCAATTCAAACAATGCAACCCTTTTGTGGGATTCATTAACTACTAATCGAGACCTACCTGTATTTTTAAAGTTGCAGAATTAGGATCGGAACCAAATCTCTTCCAAAGGATTAAAAAGCTAACAAATGTGCAAAATGTTACCATGGACTAGTCTGTCCTTACTAGGAGTACTGCAAGATTAGCAGAAATGATCTGATCCCATTCCAACTTCCCAAAATGGAAGTTATTGTTTCTGATCAAAATGGGAGGTTATTGGTTGAATGTTTGAATCTCAAAACCTTTTGCACACCTGTATACATATGTGTGCAGGTGTATTACATTTTATTCACCTTGTCTTTCTGTACAAGAGGTAAAAGGTATGGAACTCCTCCCACATCTGCAATTCTAGGCTTGCCACAAATACCTTTAAGAAGAAAAAAAAATAGGCAAATTCATTCTAACTCAAAACCAAACAAACCAATCATGGCTTAGTAGGACCCAAACCCAACTATTGTGGTCTGTTGTATGTGTGAACCAGACAATGGTGGCTTGTACAACCAACCATGGCTAAAGCAAGCCATTGCTTAGCACAGTATGTCAACTCAGCCTTGGCAGACTTCTTTATCAGTAGCTATCAGTCAGAATGAATCCTGATTTGGCATTAGAGGACAAACCATGCGAACGTTGGTGCCTTCAGGCTCAGCTTGAAAGATTCCTAAAACAACTGGTTACCCACTGTTAGAATTTGCCATTTAACAGACATTCTGCTCTGACAGATACATATTCCCTTCTATTAGTCTCCTTACCCTGTTCTAATATAGAAAAATGGAGACGTCTTTATTTTAACAGAAATGTATGCACATCCAGCCATGAAGCCATCTGTTTTCTTCTGACTTTAAGATGACAGAAACCAGAGGAATCTTTGTGCCATAAAAAAAATTGCTTACAATTGTTGTTGTTCAGTCGTTAAGTCATGTCTGACTCTTCGTGATCCCATGAACCATATCACACCAGGCCTTCCTGTCCTTTTGCTTACAATACTTTTTTCATCTGGTCCAAGCCAATGACCCAGTTCCCACAATCCCCATGTTAGCATAACCATTAACCATGCCTGCTAGGGAATCCTGGGGGTTGAAGTCTGAAATATCTGGAGTTGGGGAAAGTAATACCAGGGTGCAGAAGCTAAACACATGTAACTTCTCTGCCTTCAAGTAATGTTCTTTCTATTACACAGCTACCACTGTCTACATGCAAGAGAGAAGCATCAGAAGATGCTTCTGGGGGGGGCAACTTTCTTGGACTGACAGTCACATAATACCCCTCTGACCTACACAAGATCACAGGAAGGCATGGTCAGCAACACTGTGATGTGATGTCAAGGGTGGGGCTGTTTGGTGAGATTTGAAGCCCTCCAAAAGTGGGGAAAAATTGGAATTTTTAAAGGCTCATTCAACGTTTTAAGGTGTGCAATGAGGACTTTTAGCTTGCATGACCCAGCCTTGCAAAGGCTCAGAATAACCTATTCCATTCTTTAAAGAAAACCCATCCTGCCAAAAATTGTCCTGGAAACTTTATCCCTGTCCATCTGGTGGCCCGCATATTGCCCATGTGTTGCCAACACTTATAACATCTTGTCACAGGTCCCACATTACCTTTAACAGGAAATCTGAAGGGTTCTTGAGTCAGATCAGGACAATCCACCACAGACACTTGCACATCTGCAAAATTTTCTTTAAGTCCATTCTGCAGAACTGGAAGGAAAATAGATCAAGAGCATTTCAGAGAGCTCCCTTTGGTAGATGAGGCTCTGCCCTGCTTGCCGCGTACATCCTGGGGCCGTGCCCTCGCCCAGCACCTGGTTCCCAGGTCAGCAGCATGAGAAGATGGTGAAGGTCAGCTGGGGCAGCAGGGACCAGCAGGGGTAGGTGGCAGCAGCGGAGTGCAGGGCAGCCAAAAAGCAGGAGGGGAACGTGGGGGGGAGTTGAAGCACACAATGTGGTCATAAATGCGAGCCGGTTGCCAAGCAACCAAATTTTGATCACATGACTGCAGGATGGTGCAATGGCCGTAACTTTGAGGACTTGTGTTTTACCTTCTCTCCCTCTTATACCCGGGCAAGTCAGGGAGGAGCCAAATGGAGTCTCTTCCTGATACTATCACCTTTCCCAGGGTTTAAGGAATGCTTCTGCCCTTGTTTCTATAACGACTTCTGAATATTCCCTTCAAGGACATCTCCATAGCTCTCTACACATTCATAATTAACATTTGGGAGAGAAAGCCTGCCTCCCTTTCATACAAATTCACGCAATGTACCATATTGGGCTCTATATCCTGCTTTTCCAACTGCTGCTGTTGTATTCTCACAACTTTTCTAAAACCAAAAAATCATGCTTACTCACCACTAACCACTTCTTCCAGACTAGGTACATGAAAATCGAACTTTTCCACTCTAGACATGTTTTATTCCATGCAGCCAACCAGGCAGCTGAGCTGTGAAGAGATCGAAGTACACCACGAACAAGTTACAGGTCTGTTAATGAACATACTGGCTTTGCGATTAAAGACAAGCTTTAACGGTATACATATTTAGTCACCTCTGGGAGTGTTACATGTTAAAAAGCAGTCATGGACCTATTTTGCTCTTCTGTCTTATTATTTTGGTCTTTTCTTCCACCTCTAATGTTGGGACTCAGATCTGCTATTTTTGATAATTCAGGGGGAAAAACAGATGATTCAACAAGAAGCATTTATGATGAATCAGCAGTCCACAGAATGTACTTCTCAACTACTTTGCAATGGAAAAAAAAGTGTTGTTTTAGATGTATAAGGCAGCAATTCCATGGCAAAGGAATAAACCACACTGAATATTTTTCTAGAGTTAATATACGTAAATGAAATACAGTACATGATCGCAATACTGTTCATACTTTAAGCCTGGATTCACAGAAGGTGGTTTGTTTGTTTGGACATAGTTTACCCTTTAGTGTGAAAGGCTAAAACAGAGTACTTTGTAAGCCGTGGTTTATGGTTTAATGCATTGTGTGAACATTGTTGTTTATTCAATAAACCATCGTTAGCCAAATCACACATAATATGTATCACTTAAAAACAAAACTGACAACTGTTGACTGTTTTCAGCCATTAGATTTGAAAAGGTTTATTTGCTGGTTGGTTCAAATCAAACTTTAAAAACAAAAAAGGAAACTAGGGTTTTTTTTCTTCATCAGCTGACATTAAGCTCCAGTTAACTACTGCCTAGGAATCAGATGGAGGATTTGGAGCGTGTGAACTCCTATACCGAAAAAAGTTCAGGGGAATTTATTCCCCAAGGAGTTATATATAACAGCAGTTTAAGTCACCAATCATGCAAATTGTCCATGGCCAGGGCTGCATATTTCCCAAGCTTTCGAGAACAGCTTGTATATTAGCTCATTTCTCTTAGCTACTACAAATTGTTTTCTCTATACATTCCTCTTAAAAGTTCAGCGGCAACCTCATCCCATGACAAGTATTATTTATCTTTCCTATTTCTTCCAGCACTTCACAAAATTGCTATGCTCCCTGCCTCCTAGAAACTCTCCCATTTATTATGTTCATCTACCCAAGTTGCCACCTCAGCCATTTAGTTTTCAGTTACTATTTTTATTAGGATGCGTCTTGTTGTGGCAAGCCACTTTCAACTGATAAGGGAGATGAGTAGTAAAAAAGGCAACCTGTTCAGAAGTGCGTGGGTTTCAACGGCTGTGTTCAGGGCTTGCTTTAGAGCAGCGTTTTTTCAACCTTGGAAACTTTAAGACGGGTGGACTTCGACTCCCAGAATCCCCCCGCCAACATGCTGGGGCACACCCACTGTCTGCATTCACACGCTACACGCTGGAGCCCAAATTAACTACCCAGGCTGAATCTGCACGAGAGGCTGACTCACAGCCCCCGCCCAACCGCTCTTTATCCTAGCGTGTGAATCCCACCAGCTATTTGCAACAGAGTTCAACATATTTGCAACAGAGGTTTCTCCAGAGTAAAGCAGCTGCGAACTGCAGCCTCAGAGTTCAATAAGTTTTCCTGGAGTCTGATACAAACTTCTATTGCAAGGAGGCCCATTAGGTCCAATGGGGCTTACTCCCGGGTAAGCACACCTTCCAGTGGACTAGATCGCGTTCCGCGCTTTTCCGCAGACACATACTTTCCAAATGTGTTGGACAACAACTCCCATCAGCCACGGCCAACAGCCTGCCTTAAACTACTACCACTCCTCACAATGCAAATCATGCAAAATACGCCCTTTGCTGCAGTGACTTTACTCACAGAAAGGAACTCCCGAGCGCCCAGAGCGTAGCCTCCTAAATGAGCAATTTCTCAATCGCGTCGCCCTTCGGGCTCGGCAGCCAATCCCAAAGATCGCTTTGACCACTTTCAAAATGGAGCGCTCGTCCTCAACCATCCCTCTTCCCGTCAGCTTACGAAACCGAACGAAGACTCGCGAGATCAGAAGCTCTATATAAGTGGTCCGGCGGGGCTTTCGCGGCCTTGGTGACACGCGTGAGCGGGTGAGTTGGGTGGAATCTGTCGCCATCCGCTCGGCTTCTTGTCTGGGCAGAGGGCGGTTTATAGGGGGCTCATGGAATGACTTAGTGGGATGAACAGGGGGAATGTGGGGGTAAAAACCTACATCCGATTGGCGGCTATTGATCAGGTTCACCCATCGTGCTAAGCCGTGATATGGTTGGTCGGCTTGATGGTTTAGCGTGATAGATGAGTTGAGCGAAGGTGGCTTCATCAAGCATTAGCTTGGCGCGAGATATGTAAATCCATAAGTCTGATTTTAAGCGGATCCTGATTCACCCACCAGGAGGGGAAAGCGAGGCCCTCCCGCCTTCGCCTGGGAAAGACCGAAATTGGAATCGGACAAGTGATTTTTTTGGTGGTTCTCCTCCATGATTGCCAAAAAGTACAGAAGTCGCCTGTCATTTTGAGGCGGGCAAGTCCTAAAATCGGCCTATCCCAGTAAAAAATGTACCCCAAACCTGGACTCACCCATTTTGTGGCCTTCAGCCCTCTTCCAAGATAATTGTAGCTCTTGGCTAAGAGAAGGTTGCGCTTCTCTATACAGAATCTAACATTTCTGGAAAGCCTAAGTTATTGGACCTTTACTGTGTGTTATTTCTCTTGTATTCATCTAACATTAATTCTGCGAGGTAGGTTAGGCTGCAAGGTAGTGAAAGGTATCTCAGGAGCTTTGTGGCAGAATGGGAAGCTGAACCTGGGTCTCTAGAGTGATACTCAAATGGAAATAGGCTTGTTTTCTCCTAGGTGATTGAGCTGTTTCCCTGTTGTTAGAGAAGAGGCTAGGTTTATACATTAAATCAAGCCATGATGTGACTTATTTGGTGTAACATGTTACCTAAACTCAGCAATTGTTAAGCCCCTGTTAAGGGAGTCAAGTCTTAGAGTTTATGAATCCATCAGTTATACCTTTGAGATACGCTTTGTCTCTTTTTATATACATTAATTCTTGCGAATACTCCAGATAATAAGGGGGTAGAAGTTATTTTGGAGTTTTTGCATATTAAGACCTGGAGTGGTCTTTTTAAATAAACAAGAGTACTGTTGGAATGCAAATATCGAATTATGCCTGTGAAGCTATGTCTTTAGCTCTTGTTTCTGATGGAGGCTAACTGTTCCTATTAATTGCAGTGACATTTTGCTGTTCACTGACGATAGTTAGAGATAACTGCACTGAAAAAGAAATAGTAAGCTTATTAAAAACATTTTGGTAAATCAGATCTGTAGATAAATATTTTTTGCTATGAAGTGCTAAGCAAATAAATCTTCACCTGTATTTTTTTTCCACTGCTTTAGATATTTCAGTGTTGATGTTTCTGTGAAACTAATATCTGTTATATTTCCAAGGCTAAAAACAAACATGGCTGAAGCGGAAGCTGTTCCTGATAACCAAGATACAGAAATGTGAGTGCTTTTTATTTTTATGTAAAGTTGTGAAAAAGATATTGAGGCAAAGGGAAAGTTCCTAGGAATGGGAATTCTCTCTCTTCTCCTATTCCTGCTGTCTTCCCTTCTTATCTCCTGTTTTTATTCCTGATTTTATGTGCTCTGTAAAGAAATACATATTTCATTAAGGTAGGTTTCCTTAGTTGTATAAACCATGGTAGCTGGCTTCTCATACCAAGCCATGATATGTCTTAGGCCAGTGTGTAATTCTAGCCATAGACAAGAGTTCTACCACGCTTTGTGACTAGAGGACCTCCAGGTAGCTATTTTGCATCCATTTCTGTTGAGAAGTTATTGAAATTAGTAAAAAATAGATCCTCCAGGCTCAACATCTGTTTGGACTTGCTGGGAGTGGGGAGAGATGGACAAATCTACAACGCTACTAAAGAATAACTCTTACCTTTCATTGCTTCAGACCTGCCCCACATTCATCAAAGTGCTCAAGGAAAAAAGATAAAGCTTTGAATTCAGCAAGAGTTGCTGGGCGGTCATCTTCTGTGGCTGTGCAAAGCGATCCTTCCAGAGCTTGTATGAAGGCTGAGGGTCAGGTGAAGTGGCCCAAACCTAAAATTGATCTCCAAGCCCTCTTTGATTACCACTTCACAAGAAAGCAGCACCGGTTCCGCAGAAAATGGACCCCTAGGGACAAGAAAGCAAATACTTCTCGCAAGTGTGCAAAAGAGCGAACAGAGAGACGAAGAATCCCGGAAAGTGAGCAAAGGAGGAGACTTAAAGATAGAGGAATTGTATTTCCTTTTGTGGCAAAATACTATGGCACGAAGCACCTTCCCTTAAAAATGGTGCGAGGATATGAGGTAAATTATGATTTCACACTGCTTTTGAAACAATTATTTGCACAGTAATGTTCTGGGGCTGTCATCCACCAACTTGCTGTCCTCCAAATATCTAATGGTGGTTAGGGCCAATAGGTCTGGGCGGTATGAGGGTTGGGAAGGCTGATCTAGGCTCTGAACTGTTTGATTGAGAATAGTTGACTTCTTGACTGTCTTGATCAGAAGAGAACTTGCAGTTGACAGTCTTGTTGCATATTAACTTGAGTGGCTTTTAGACTTGCACTTTTGTTCATGGCTGAAAAAATATCCTTCTCTCTTAGCGAGCAGCTTTGAAGGGATTTTTCAAGTACATTGAAATGTTGAAATATGAGCACCATCTGAAAAAGTCTTTGATGCAGTTGAATGCTGGGGATGATCTTGAAAATGAATGCCTGGAATCACGGAAACACAAATACCTGGATGACGATGGGCCAATTTCTCCAATTGCCGAGACCAAGTAGGTATAATTAGACTTTCTAAGATTGGATTTGGCAATCCAAAGACCATAGCTTCCAGCCACAATTGTGTGATTATTGAAGTTTTAATGAAGTTTGCCAATTTAGCATCAACATGTTCTAGTCTTAATAGACTATGTTATGATAGACTATATTATAATTTCCACAGATCTTATAAATTGACAGAAAGCGAACAATCATGTAGAATGATGGTTCATCCTGTTGCTTCAGCAAGTGAATTTTATCTGATACCTTTCTGACTAGAGCTTCTGATGACTAGCTCGTTTTTCAATTGATAAATTACCCAAATATTTCCAGTGCTCAATGATTAAGAATTTAGCTGCCAAAAGTAAAAATATAATCAGCTTTGTATTAACCGCCCCTATTCTCTCCATTGAACATATAATAATCTTAATTTGGGGGAAAATTCTGATCTTGTTTAGTTATAAATTACCCCTCTCAACCTAAAAGCGTGAACTCCAGAATTTAATATTATTGGAAACAGATACAGGAAACCCTTCCCTAGATTTGAAAGAACCTTGGGAGATTGATCTGGGTACATGGCAAGCATTGTGGCAATCTGGGGAATTATTCTCAGCTTCTATGCAGGGATTATATTTGAAGATGTATTGATTGCATTTAAGAATTGCACTAAATCAAGCAGCAAAACACTGGAGGGGTTGTAAACAGAAGCTAACAATCTTCTACCTCCGAAAGTATCAGGCTTTTGGTATCATTTTGTGAACATGCTGCCCAAAATTGTAAATGTTTGTAGATCTAAAATAGATTTGGCATAGTATTTTTATTTATTTACAATTGCATACACAGGTATTTGTGTGCCACCTGTTTGAGTTAAGCAGCTTATAATAGTGTATTAAAAACATCCATAAAATCTAATTTAAATGTATTTTTAAAATTGTCTTGAAATCTGATGCTCACTTCCCCAAAATTCTATGGAAGAGAAAGGTCTTGATTACTTCAAGAAAGGGTAAAAGGTAGCGTAGTCCAAGCGGGGGTGGGGGGGAAGCTACCACTAAATAGTGCCTGAGGAAGGCCATCTTGAAGGTGTCAAGGGCCCAGGCCACAGGTCAAATAGAAACAAAAATTCAGCTAAATTGCAGTCCTGCCTTTTTGCATCATCACCCTGACTTATTGAGATATAGTAAATGTAACCATGTCACCCAAAGTTTGTCCAGTCTAACTCTAAGCTATTGTTTAAAATTATGATTTATTAAAGCCCATTGGGTCCCTTTACATAATGTGCTAAACCATCTTTTACAACCAGTAGTCTCACAGCATGTTAAAGCAAAGCCATACAAGTTCATTTTAGGTTTATTGTGATGGGAGTTTGGCCCAAAGCTTTGATTGCCTTTGCAGACTGCAGAAAAAACAATAGCTGAAAATGGGAATCTAATGATTTTGGATATGCTAAACCACCTTCTGACAGCCTTACAAACAAGTTAATTGATCAGTTTCAGAAAGTAGTTTTTACCTAAGATTAAGTCTATTATCTTTCTGTTTTCCCCCATAATTTTAACCTGCAAGATTAACCGAGAGGCACTTGTCATCAATACGTTGCATAGTTGAGTAGGAGTTTGAACATCTTAGCCAGTACACTAAGGATGGCCTCTTCCATCTTTATTTCCTGTTACATATACCGTAGTAAGCAGTCACTTGGTCTGAGCAACTGTCTTCTAATTTTTTAAGGAAACTAATCAAATCCCAGCAACAACTTCAGGGTGCATTTGACGTGCTTTAGTGCACTTTCAGTGGTATCTTTAAAAAGAACTTGTGCTTCCATATATTCCCTGCACGCCTGGTATGTTCCTGCAATTTCTGTGGAGGTATGTGCAATTCTGAAGAAATAACTAAAAACAGCCACAAGTTTCAGATTAAATTGAGGTCATAGCTTTATGATAGGGGGTTCTGCAGCTAGGACTAGAGGTAAAAAGAGAAGTGTGAACGGTAAGGTTAAATGAATGCTGCAGATTGATGCTTAGAACATAAAATTAAGTTGGAGGTGTGACCCTCACATTCTGGAGACATCAAGCTGGAGAAGATAGATATAAATCTAATCTTGACAATTTTCTGTTTCAGCAAGGATGAGGATTCTGGGGATGAAAACATTGGGGCCAAAGTAGTGGTAAGTTTCCAATAACTGAAGCTTGCTGTATCATTTCTACTGTCACTCTGGCTTTTACTTCTTACTCCTTAACGTGGGGAATGCATTAGAAGTCAGGGAGAAGCAAAATTAATTGTGTACAAAACTCATTTTGCAATGAGCCTCCCTGTTTTGCATACAGTGCTTGCTTAACGACTATCCGTTTAGTGACTGTTCAAAGTTATAACAGTGCTGAAAATGATTTATGACTGGTCCTCATGCTTAAGATTGTTGAAGTGTCCCTGTGGTCATGTGATTGCAATTTGGGCACTTGGCAACTGTCACACATTTACGACGGTTGCAGCATCCTGTAGTCACATGATTGCCATTTGCAACTTTCCCAGCCAGCTTCTGACAAGCACGGTCAATGGGGAGGTGGGCAGGAAGTTGCAATTTGTGGTCACGTGATGTGTCGCTTAACAAATGTGGGTAATTCACTTAATGACTGCAACTGGGACTGCTGGAACTGCCATTGGAAGTTGGTGGGTCATGTGATGTTTCGCTTAATGACTGCTTTGCTTAGTGACTGAATTGCTGTTCTCACTAAGGGTTAAACAAAGACTATCTGTATTCCTGTTTGAAAGCCATCCTTTGTTAGCAGGAGGATGCAGGTACAATACTGTACGGCCCAGTGGTATTAATATTTTGGATCGTGCACAGTGAGGCTGCAGAGCTCGGTGCAGAAACCAAAGTGTTAAATCCTCAGTTTCTGCACTCAGAGTTCTGCATGAATGCCTTTAAAGAAAAAGGAGACAGAGTAAGTTGGAATAAGGTAAAATGTACAATAAAACCAAACAAAATAAAACATGCAGTGTAATAAAATGATAAAAAAAGAGCAAGAACTGATGGTGAGTCTGGCTAACAGTATCCCCATCCCCAAATAAATTGACAAGGGCTCCAACCACTCTAACCCAGGACCTGGGAGAACAGCCAGGTCTGTAAGGCTTTCCGGAATGCCAGCAGGCTTGCCTGCAAAATGCATTTTTGAAATGAATTGGGATTCTGCTTAATTGCTCTGAGGTTAGCATTGTTTTGTAATGCCCTGCTGGTTTTTCTTTTCCAGGACAACAGCTGTTTCATATTAAGCCACAAAATTCCCAAGAAAAAGAAGAAACCGAAACGCAAAGAAAGATGAGTGGTGCCTTTGTTAGAGAAGAGGACATTTAGATGGGATGCCTAGAAGAAATGCAAATAAAAATTTAATACTCTCGAGTTCCAGGCTACCTTCATAAAGCCTCTTAAAAGCACAAGCCAGGTATTTAGGTATAATTTTTCTTTTTTCCTCTCCCAGCATTTAACTGCGTAATACTTTCTGAACATCAGACAATAGCCTTTGTATCGGTATACCGCTTTTCAGAATACTTCCCCAAATTTGCATGACAATGAGTTAATCACTGTTTTGTCACCATGCATGTGCCTATGTTTCATTCATCCTCTTACCCTAATGTATTAAAGCTGTTTTCATGCCACTCAAGATTTGCATTTATCATGTGTGATGGCAAGTTCTAAATCCTTAGTAGTAGTTCACTAAATCCAGTAATGGATTTTATTGGCCAAGATACTAGGATATATAATTGGATCTAAAATTTGCAGTGCAGTTCACGTGATGACTGTTTTTCAGTTCAACTGCTGAATGATTCACCAATGAACTAAATCTAACACTCTGATCAGAACTGAGCGCACAGCAATTGTTAGCATGAGGCAGCCTGAGCACATTGGCTACCTGAACAAATGTTGATAAGAAAAAAAATAGAAGCACAGTATCAGTAAACAACCACATGTATCTTAAGAGAACCTGTACCAATGCTGCAAATTGATTCAGACCTGATGTGCTTTTCTGTTTTTGAACTAGCAAAGCAACTGAACATCCTCCATGATGCACAGTACTTCAAGTGAAGCTTCAAGGACTACTAGATGAGGCAAAAAATGAGCTGGGCTGATTGTTCTGTGCAGAAGGCTTTGAGATCTCACTATTCTTGAATTAAACGCCTGAGTTTGGAAAACACCGTGTATGCATTCAGCCTCCCGTGGTCTTGGGAGCTTTGGATTTGCTCAGCCTCAGCGTGCTCTGGATTTCTCCCATCTCTTGGAAAGCAATTCCATTGTGTTTTCTTGGCTTCCTGAATGTTTTGACCCAGAGCACCAGCTGCCAGAGAATGGTCCCCCTTGATGTCTGGCACGTGGATTACATTTGGAAATGTCTAACCTAACCTGGTGGCAGACTAGGAAAGATTATGGGAAAAACTGATGTTATAAACTCATTGGGCTACAAAGCATACCAATTGATCTCTTGATCTCTGCTGCCAAATGAAGCTATCTTGACTCAGCTGGAATTTTTTAATTAGAGCCTGTCTCTGTATCTGCTTGATAGGGTGTATTTTGCTCAGTGCTCTTCCCAGTTCACACACGATGTCCATTTCCACAAATGCTTGTCTTCTACTTCAGTCACTTGATCTATACCATGTAGTGACTGAAGATCTGAATGGACTTGCTTCCTTAATATTTTTCAAAAACAAGTTGGCTGATTGGCATCTGAGCCTTGGCTGTAATAGAACATAAACTGGACAGAAATTCAGAAGGTGGCTTGGACAGCTGTCATCTAGTACATGGTGCAATGCGATTCAGTTGCAGCTGCACTAAAAAAAATCTGGTTTTTTTGCTTTGCAATTGGCCATTTAAAATCTGAAAAAGAAAAGACCTGTGGTTCAGCTTATGCAAGAAGTAAGTTTGCATTACTCCCCTCTCCCTGCAAAAAAAAAAAATCTGTTTCTGATTCAGAGTGGGTGCTAGTAGGCTTCTTTAAAACATACAGTAGGAAAATGGATTTTTGATTTTCTGCCACGGATTGGTTAAGATTTATACAGTGTGTATTTTGCGGTTTTGTAATGTGCTCTGATGTTTAGATCATACGGGTTTTTTTTCTACTTTTACTATTTGGCAGCACAACTCCAGGTTTTGACTGGTCTCTCAGATGAAAGCCATGGAGTAAGTGCTAAGAATACAACCTTCTTCGCAACCCACAGCTGATTTGTATTTGCTGTGTTACTTAAAGGAAGGAACACAATATCTGGGTCTTGGGTTAATGTTAGAGTAATCTGAAAACATGGAGTTTGTCGGCCAGTAGAAGAAACTTTACTGCTAAATAGAAACCACAGGCATTTAAATGATTCTGAAGCTTATCTGTTCAAAGTGGTAACATACATTTTTGTCAGTTAGTCTCTGTGCTAGTAAAATTAAACCTTTGATTGCTTAACACAATGCAGAGTATTTGGGATATTCATAAGAAAGTTTCTGATTCATGGACAATTCTTGATTTCAGGGTCCTCGAAAATAAAGCTTGGAAAAATAATTTGGTGGAAGACAAGGTATGTTGGCACCAATTAGTACTAGGGATATGTGAAATAATCAGTTTTAGAGATGAATAATGTCTGAAGCGATGCAGACTGCTTATCCCTGAAATTCTTCACATCCCTTATTAATATATAGTTTTGGACTATACAGTATATGTGTATCTTTGTAGCTCAAAAAGAAGTGTTAACTGCACTGTACGGTATCTGCATCCAGCAGTTGTTCCTGATGGAGTGTTCAAAAAACAGTGCAAGATCAATTCAGCATGTGGCATCGTTGGTTCTCAGGCTGCTGTGCTTGTGCAACCTGGTATTTTTGTTGGAACAAATAGCAACAATTCCAGTAGTCCTCCACTTTTGACCATTCATTCAGTGACTGTTCGGAGTTACGACAGCACTGATCAAAATTTGGGCACTTGGCAGCCCGCCTGCAATTACAACCACACTTCCTCGTGAGACCTGGGGAAGATGGCCTCGTGGCCAGCAGCTGCTCGTGAAGGATCAGAGCGGGCACATCTCAGCAGCAGGAGCGAAAAGATGACAGGTGGAGCAGTGGAGTGCAGGGTGGTGAGGGCGGCTGGGGCTTCCTGGGGCATGGCGGCTTTGTGCCACACTGCTGGACCATGCTGGGGCTGGGCTTCCTGACATGCTGGGTCTCGGGCTTTTTGCTGGGCTGGGCATTGTGCTGCGCAAAGGGGCTTCCTGGTGCACTGTGGCTGGGGCTTTTTGGGTTTTGCAGCCCCAGAGCTGCAGCACAAAGGGGCTACCTGGGAAGGGCACAAATAGTGATCAAGTGACCACGGGATGTTGCAACTGGTCATAAGGGTGAGCTGGTTGCCAGGCACCTGAATTTTGGCTGCAGGGGCACTGCAGCAGCTGGAACGTTGGGGACCAGTCATAAGTCCCTTCGTTCAGTACCATTTGGTCAATGAATGGTCACAACTTGAGGACTATCTGTAGAAATGTTACGATTATTATGCAGCCTCTCTTCCTGAAAAAAATCATAGCAAAATATTTTCTATTCTAGAAAAATCCTGACAACTGAAATGAAGCTGCAATCATTTGAGCAAATGTTTGAAGGTAATAGCTCTTTTTTTCTGGAGAATATGGAGAAGGAACAGGGACAGATGGGTTTGCTGTTTCCATGCACTCAAGTTAAAACTCGCCTTGTTGGAATAGTCAGTGTGGGCACATCTCATTTTGTGTCGCAATGAGGCAATGAGGCTACAGAAAACACAGGTTGTGCTTCCATCATTGTAAAACAAATTACACTGGTGACAATGAGACCTGGGATAATTTTATTCTGAAGTCGTACTAGCAAAATGAAGGTATCAAGGAATAAAAGTCAGTGCTAGAATATGTTACATCACAAATAGGCAGCTCAGTATTTTGAAGTTTTCTCTCTTTTTTTAAAGGAACCCAAAATATGCATCTTTGGCTGAATTGGTAAGATGTTGAAGTAGTTAATTTTGAAACTGATATTATTACTAATGGAAAGATTGATACTTTTGGAATATAGTAGGCTGTATCTTCTCTTCCTTTTCTGTATGGAGGGATTTTTTAAAATTACAGATAAGTCACACCCAAAGAGTGGCGTGAAAGCAGGCTCTTTTCATAGGGCTGACGAGAAGAAGGGATTGTCATGATGATTGGCAAGATGTTCAACTGCTCTGAAAAGAGTGAATGATTAACAGCCATTCTGAACATAGTGATTGAACCAGCCTTTCTGCAGTTAGCTTGTTGGCTTTCTGGGCCTTTGCTGTAGACAATTACATTCCTCGGAACCTTTTGTTGTTGAGCAGGTGCTAGATTACAAATGATATATAATTGGTTCTCAGTACAATAGAAAATAATTTATGAATAGGGTGTCCTGAAACTAGAGTGGATGAACAGTGGGCTCCCTCATTGATAGGAGGGAGCAGACTGCAAGCTCTTTGAGCCCTTTCAAAGATTTTCACAGGAATCATTTTTTTCCTGCCATTTTAGGTGAATTAATGGTAATTGTTGTATAAGCTTGATATAGCTTTTCTTCGACCATTTAAAAAAGGTCCTGTGGGGAAGGGGGAAGATCAGAAGAAATGGAAAATCCTGAATGTGTCCGTGTGACAGCTTTTCTCTCCCTGGTTTAGGAACAAGGGAAAGCCCTTACTAAGCAGCTTGTTTCAATGGAATGTATTTTCCTTGGGGATTGGTCCCTTAAGGCAGGGTTCCTCCACCTCAGCAACTTTATGATGGGTGGACTTCAACTCCCAGAATTCCCCA